CCCCACACACACACACACACACACACACACACACACACACACACACACACACACACAGTCCAACCATCATGGCATCGTGCTGGATTCTCTGTGGACAAACTTGTTTGTTTTCTCATTCTCAGTTTTCTCGGCTTGTGTGTTTGGATGTGTTTACCTGCAGGTGGTGGGCATGGACACTGATCAAAGGCCTTTCTCCAGAGGAGGCCCTGCAGGTGAGGGCCAAGGTCGCCTGTCTGGAGGCCCTGAAGGGCCAAAGGAACGACTTGGGCCTGCAAAGAGCCTGGGAAGGAAACTATCTGGTGAGCAGGGGGGGAGGAGGTGTGGGTGGAGTGCAGTTATATACGTCTGGCTTGTATGCAGCCTGGTTTATTTGTGTTCCTGCTGTAAACTGTCTATCAGCTGGTGGCACTGTCTCTAAGATCCATATTAACGCCAGGATTTGAACCTCGACATCTTTTTAGTTTCTTGGCCAAAAAGCTAATTTTCGATGGATTTGTTTTGTGTAAATTAAAACAAAAAGCTGCCAACAAATGTGTCCTGGATCCTTCTCGGGCCGATATCTCCCAGGATTCACTGGGGCATAGGTGACAAAACTAACGTCGTGTTCACGGCTGAGCTACGATAAGAGCAACTGTAGGGAGGGTGATGTAAACAGGAAGAAGAAGAACCAGACGGCCGACAGAAGCTTTTTTACAATTTCAGTAATTGGATAAAAAAGGCTTTGATATTTCAGCGTGTGTATAAGATGGAAGCTCCTTCTCACCGTCCTCCTCTGAACTTGATGAGTGTCGGTTTGTTCCGTCCGTGTTTCTGACAGGTTCTCACTGTGTGTCTCTTTTGTGTTCGAAACAGAAGCGAGACAGCCCCGACACATCGTCGTCGTTCACGCTCGTCTCCAGCGAGCTGCAGCGCAAAGACAAATTCATGAGGGTTCTGTTCTCCTGCAATGTTCGCAAGGTAGAGGACTCATCCACTGTTAGCCACACGTATCTGTCTGCACAGGAAAGAGTTGACATGCTCCTGGTTTCCGCCCCCCAACCAAGTTGTTTGTGAGCTCTTCCTGTTTCCTGCGCGGGGGGGGACTAATGAGGTGCTTTGTGTTTCCCAGATCAACCGTTTCCACAAGGCGGAGGACAGGACTGTGCTCATCACTGACCGCCACCTGTACAAGATGGATCCCCTGAAGCAGTACAAGCCCATGAAGAGCATCCCCCTCTACAACGTATGACACTTCCTCTTTTTAACAGCCGTCTTTATCACAGACACACGGTGACTTATTACACACGGGTCGACCAGATTTACAGTATTGAACCTGTATTTATTCAGGAAGGTCCCACTGAGATACAGTCTCTCTTCTGCCTGGAAGTCCTGGTCATGGTGGGCAGCAAATGAATTTAAAAATGGATCATATATAAATACAAGCAGGGTCAGAAAACAAAAAACAGACACATACAATGACAGACAATAATTCAAAACGCACATGTTGAAATATGCAGAATGTTTATCGACTTAATAGAATCAGAGATCTTCGTGATGCAGATCCATAAAACCCTGTTTCACGTGCTATAAACCAGAGTGTGTGTCACATGGGAGAATGACTTATGCCGAGTTGTTGATGTGTATTGAATTACAGGTTACACACTTGAGCAGCCTGAAAATGAAAATCCATAGATCAAATTACTGCTCGGCGATGAGAGCTCAGGAGACTTCCGTCTTTGCTGCTGATTCATCCAACGAGCAGCCAGAGTTTCATATTTTTGTATAAATTAGAAAGATGAAAAGTCAATAATATTTGCTTGTGATAGTTTTTTTTTTTCCTCACGTCTGTATTTCGTGATGTGAGAGTTAAAACATAGACATCAGACCTGAGTGGCGGCTGTGGCTCTGGTGACTCTTGTTTTCTGTGTTTCACCACCAGCCCTGTTTTCATGTGGCAACATGTCAATATGCAAAAATCCTGTTGAGCTCCGTAATTGGCTGCTTTTATTTCATATTCACGCTGTGATAGGTCTTTTAAGGCCGCTTCACATGAGGCTGTTTCCATGGCGAATGTGTCCTGTGTTCACTTCACGCCACCTTGTCTGTGTCACAAACACCGTCAACATCTGTTCGATTCAACGTTCAGGTTCATGTTTTGATTATTTGCTCTGTCTTCTGGTCCATGTGGCCGCTGTGAGGTTGTCAGATTTCAGAAATACTTACACATTTCAACCTACACAACACTTTCTATTTATCAAACAGCCCTTTAAAGAGGAGTTAACCAGACAATTCACCCTGAAGGTGCAAAACTGAAACTACAAAGAGCAAATGAAAACTATGCAGGCGAAGTTAAGAAAACAAGCGAGAGAAGAAAGCAGCGTTTAAAAGACTCGTCAACAGAAAATATTTCAGATTTTTCATTTTGCTCTGCTGCGACGCAAACATTGCCTCTGCACCTTATTGCTCCACTGACCTTGGAGGTGAGGCAGAGATTAGACGGGAGGTGAGGGCGTCGTGCATCAATCTCTCGGGCAGATACGCCCCCGTCATCTGGGGAAGTGAGTGAGATATGAGGCCGGCGTGCGGTGACGGTTGTGACAAGACGTCCCAGTGTTCAATCTGACAGAGTGACAGGAGGGAGTTAGAGAGTCCGCAGACGGACACCAGGAGCCCGCGCGGAGGCATCTGGAAGTGAGACGGGGAGGCGGCGGTTTAGACAGATGGCGGCAGAGAGTGAGAGCGAGCAGCGGGAGTCAGGGAGATTTTTAGTTACTGGTCTTTGAGTCACACACACACTCATGAGTTGATGAGCTCAGTCATATGTGGAGCTGGAGGAGGATGAGGCTCAGCTTGTTGGTCTGCAGCTTTCACACAGCCACACCACAGGAGGAGCTTGGTACACATTATGTGTGTTCCAGGTCAGGGGCAGGACGCCGTCTACGCAGCCCACCAAGGATGCAACCATGGTGGGCTGCGTAGACCGGGAACCAAAATGGAGGCGGCACCCCCCGGTGCGTCTTGATTCACTTTAAAGGACCCATTCGGTTTTGGTGCAGAAACAGGAATTACAAGAAACTAGTTTTTAAAAATATTTTTGTGAATTTCCAGTTTTGGGAAATCAAACTGAGACAGTCGAGGTGGTTCAGGCCTCTGATCAGGATTCTTCTCGGCCCGAACCAAAATGGAGACGACAATATGTTACGTCTTGATTGAATTGAAGTCGACAAAAGCTGCCTCGCTCGTTGATATTGTGAAGAGAAGTCCGTCTCTTTATCAGCAGTAAACCGTGTGACTGATCGTCACTGCTGCTCTGTCACGTTCATAGTATCACTGTTAATTCAGTAAATGTAAAGGTGGAGGACGACCTGGAGACTGATGGAGGCTGAGAGCAGCGTGACGCCGAGCTATCGATCGGAGAAGGTCAAACAGAGGGGAGGGCAGTTAGCTCATTGTTGATTAGCACCGAGGGGCTAACACCACCCCCGGCCGCCCCGTACTTACGGCTGCTCCTGCAGGGCCCCGCTGATAGATGGCCGCTGCTTTAGTGAGGAGCCAGCAACCGTCTGCCAAAGGATTTATACGCCAATTAATGCCTGCGCTGCAGAAGCGATATCATTGCTCCGTATTTCTCGTTAAATAAAACAAATACTGTTGAGGAAACGGTGAAATATCGATTGTGCTCCACTGACTCATCTCGCTGCTTCTCGCCATCTTTTCTCTCACCTTCATCTTTTCATTCTATTTCTGTCCTGCACCCATCCCCACCTCATCCCTCTCTCCCTATCTCAGTGTTGTCTCTCCCCTCTCGCCTTCTTCCTCCCTCCCCCCCCCCCTCGCCGCTGCCGCTTCTCTCCTCCCATTGTTGTCATGCCAACTTCCCAGGAGACAGTGTTGTCATGGATACCGAGCGGCAGGGCAGATCAGCTGATGTCTGGTGTCGTCCGGGCATGTGCACAGATCGGTCTCTTTTCTTCCCGCCGAGGATTATTTGTGATCCCTTCGGCTCTCGCTCTCCTCACACACTTTCTCGCTGCCGTGGTCTCTGAGTTTATTATCAAAGGACAAATTCACACGTAGAAGACGAAGCAACGGACCAAAAAAAAAGCTGCTTTCTGAAATGTTTGCAAATCTAGTAATACACAGGATCAGGATGAAAATGTGTTGAAGCATAAACTGTAAGTGTGTAAATGATTCGTACATTTTAGGGGGCGTATTATCTGTTGTCTCCTCATCACACGAGTGGCTGCATAGCATTCACTCATTTGATCACAGACTCCAGCGTGACCTCTCACCACAGGAGTGTAGGGGTGTGTTATATAACCAATAAGTCGCTCCCATGGGACCGAACCGGGAGAACCTGCTGTTTAAATGATGTCCTCTGGACAACTGCAGCCCTGTGACTGCAGGTTGACATTGTGCAGGAGTTTCCTCTGTGTATTCCTGTGACTGCAGCACATTCACAGTGTGGGAACATGACTTTTTATTTTATTTTATTTTTTAAATAAATGCAAACAAGACATCAGAAAAACATCGTCCCCGTTCACGCTGTAACAACTGTCTCTTGTAAAAGCTTCAAGATCACACTGGAGGCGAGTGGTGTGAAAAACACATGAGAGAAGCAAAACTTTATTTTCTCCTAAATATTCCAGATGTTTATTCTGTTTACGCAGAAACTACTACATTTCTTGTTTGGTCTGACCAACTGTCCACAACCTGTGTCCACAGTTTACTGTCATATAAGACAAATAAAAGTAGGAAATCTTCTCTATTAGGAAGCTGGAGGAATAATTCTTATTGGTCATCGAAATAATTGAGATTAATCACTAATAGAAAAACGTCACAGAACTGATTGCACACAGATTGCGATCGTGATTAAAAGACGCCTCGTATCGCCGAGTGTGGCGAGAGGCCAAGTTGCCGTAATGAACTGTACCGTCGTCTTCAAGTCTTTAACACGTGTGTGTGTGTGTGTGTGTGTGTGTGT